TATTGAATACATTTTGGTTCTGTGAAAATGTTATAGTACGGTGCCCAATATTGTTCAGTGATTTATAAACATACATTAAAAGTTGATATTCATACAAGGCTCGTATTGACATTGGTGAATCACAATAGTTTTTATGCAGCGATAGCGTGGAATAAGTCCTTGGTTATTTAAACACTATTTTTAGGGCTGTATTTTGCATTCTTTGAAGAGTTTTGAGAACAGTTTAATTTTTAAAAGCATAAATTATCGCCAAGTAATTAAGGTGACTTTGTAAAAATACATTGAATAACAGCAATTTCGTATTAGTGTCCAACAAATTCTTCATTTTATATAAAACCCCTACTGCCGGAGCAATTTTACACTTTAGATTCTTTATATGGATATCCCATGAAAGATTGCATTGCAGTGTAATACCTAAATACTTGACATTATTCACTTCGGTAATAATGTTACCATCAATACAAACACTAAAGCTGTTATCCACGTTAGCATGGGGCTTGAAACGAATTAGTTTTGTTTTACTAGGATTGACAGCTAGTTTATTAAGCCTAAAATATTCAAACAAAATGGAACAATCTCTTTCAATTGCTGTTTTTAAAACTAGGTCAAATTTGTAAGGATAGAATAGGCAGATATCATCAGCAAACATATACATGCGACCATCAAGTTCAAGATCACTCAAATCATTTAAGAATATTTTAAACAATAAAGGTCCCAAGCAACTACCTTGTGGAACTCCACATGTTACTTCCTCCACTCGGCTTTTAGCATCAGAAATTTGTACATATTGCTTCCTATTCGTTAGATAGCTCCTAAAAAGCATCAGCTCTCATCCCTGAATTCCATATTTTGACAATTTCTGTAATAATATTTCATGGTCAACAATATCAAAAGCTTTTGATAGATCTAAAAATAAACCACCAACGCCTACCTGACCTTGATCCAACCCATTGCAAATAAAATTTACTACGTTTACATCCGCTTCTTCTGTACCACAACCTTTCCTAAAACCAAATTGGTACTTATATATAAAACTGTTGCTATCAAAATAGTCCTGCAATTTTTCATGTATAATTTTTTCATAAATTTTGTCAACAACGGGCAGAAGAGCAATGGGACGAAAATTTTCAACAGATGATGCATTGTTCACTTTAGGAATTGGGATTATTTTACTAATTTTCAAACTGTCCGGATATTTAGCTGTGGTTATGATCATATTTAAAATAGAGGTT